AAAAGCTCAGATGACAACCGCCTGGAGGCCCATTCATACGAGAGTGTTTGTTTAATGCATTACAAGTCACACTGACATTCGTTATTCGAATGGCTCATGCAAACCTACCCCTTCCACTGACTTCTACATTTCACGAGCAATTCCAATGAAAATCCTTGCAATCGAAATGTTATTTCGAAGCAGCCGTCCTTGAAAGCAACGTTCGTGCCGAACCGATCTCAGTCGAAGAAGCCTCATCGGTGGCAGGGCAACGAATAATACGCGGTCTAAAAACATGCTTTTCGTGTAAGGCTCGTCAAATTATGAGGCGCTGGAGAAATGCAGCATTCTGCGTTTAGTCCTTATTTCGAACTCTTTTTGTTCGCCTTCCGCCCATTGAAAACCATGCGGGAAGGGCCTTAGAACGCACCTGGTATCGCTGCGCCGCAGCGTTCTTCCGCAACATGAAGTTCGTCTGCTTTCCTCTCCGTCACCATGGCAACGAACGCCGAACGAATAGAAGCACGCACGGTACCGCCGCGTGAAGCCAGCAACAGCTGACGCCATTTTACGAACGCCGTCTGCTAGCCAAAGCCGAACGCGGTGTGTCAGATCAACCGCCTCCGCCGGTGCGCCGCTAGCAAAGGCGACGAAGCTCAGATACGGCGACGGCGATCGAGCAAGCAGCAACACCGCGGGACGACTGCAACGGCGGCATTTATTCGGATCAAAGGCCGCCTTCGCCGGTGCGCCGCTAGCAAAGACGACGAAGCTGAGGCACGCCGACGGCGAATGGGCGAGCAACAGCACCGCGGGACGACTGCAACGGCGGCATTTATTTTGATCACAGGCGCGAAATAAGCAAGAACAATTTTTATTTGAATCATAACACCCGATATCCAAGTTGGGGACCACGTACCTTTCCTGGGTCTTTCCTGTGAACTTTTTACAGAGACACGGGGTGCCGCATTAAAAACACAGCTCCGTTTGCAAAATATGGGGGCCCTGAAAAGAACCGTTTAGACCGCTACCAGAACCTATAACTGACGTAACGAGCACTTGACGAGCGGTTGGCGCATAAGTCGTCTTTATGCATGCAGGCGGGTGACGGGCTCAGCGCAGCGGATCCCTCGAAGTCACCGGGGCCGTCAGAATCCTCGCCCTGTCTGCGTCGGGGCTCTAGATTTTGGCGGCCGCGGCGACGAACGACTGGAATCTATCAGTGTTTCCGCGCGCCTTGTCTCTCCTCTAAAACATGAACTTTGCAAGGTGACCAGTGAAATGGTGGCTCTCGCGCCGTCCAGATGGAAGAGAGTTTTTGAGGTGGGCCCAGGTGCAATCCACCGTATTGGTGTGCGCACCAGTGTTCGCGTCGACAAAGTGCAGCTTGTGGTTGACGGTGAGGTGCGTGAAGCGAGCGTCATCTGCAAGCTTGCGATAGCCAGCCCAACAATCAGTGATTATTCTTGTTACAGGGCGAACCCACTCGGCTATTAGCCCTTGCACGGTTTTAGCGTCACGGGTCTCCACGGGAACAAGAAAGCAGCACCCGCTGCAACGCGCCACACCGTCGAAAACAGACTGCCCAGGCCTTAATTACCCGCGATGGTACTTGTGCCGACCGAACATACTCTCGTCTAGTTCTACAGTCACGCCTTCGCCACCAATCATGTCTGAATGCTTAAAGACGGCATTTACCACAACCTCCCGACAAAGGCTCGCCCAATCAGTTATTGTCTTACTTGCGATATCAGCCTCCCGCTGAATGACGGCGCACGGTAGGTTCTGGCATCCGGAGGATGATTTTCATGAGTTGGAGAAACGTGAGGTGCGTGCGATCCTTCGAAAAAGGAACCGCTCCGTACCGAGACCTCGCCCCGGCACTGAACTTTGACCGGCTTTCTCTTGGGCACCTCACGAGTCATCCACACACCGCAACCCCCCCCCGCCCCCCTCCCCGTGTAGCCATCCGCAGATCTAGCGCGGACTTGCAGCTTGTCATCGCAGCTTCGCACTCTGGACACGCACGAAAACCCAGGAGCCAGGAGCAGGCCAACGCGCTGAAGCAAATTAATTGCTTCAAGAGGGTCTTTCATGGCGCCATGAAGACGGCAAAAGTTGAACGGCATGGCACTGCGATGCTCGCTTCTGGAAGAGTGAAGCGCCGAGGGGGAACTGCGCGCTTCTTTGCATTTATTATTTTTATTTCATCCGCCATTTTATACCTCGTGACATAATTCTAACAAACTCATTGGTTGATCGGTCGGACCACACCATCGCGTGACAAAACAAACGCCTAACGTATGTCCACAGGCGGCATCGTCACAGAGAAGGGAGCAGTCGAACCCAACAACAAAATAAAGTAGCAAAACAAATAAAAATAAAAAAAAATAAGAAGGGAGCCGTTTGAGTTTCGGACGGCGTCTTCTTTGATGAGAGGAGCTGCTCTGGCCAGAGCAACCAGAGCAGCCGTGTTGCTCTGGCTGCTCGGAATATTCCTTTTTTACTCTTTTTTTTTTTTTTTTACTGTACAAGGTGCTACGACTTTTATTTGAAGCTGATTTGTTAAATTAATAACAAACAGCGCGTTGGAACGGAGGAGGTAGAGAGTCTTGGCGTCAGAATTTGACGTGGTAGAAAAGAAAAGAAAATAACGAATGCACAATACATACCGTATGCCAAGACCGTTATACTCCGCACTTGGCGAGGCCTTATGACGCCGCCGACGGCCGTTAGGCTATTTATTTTGTTTCTTTAGATTTTTTATCGTGACGAGCTCCGCCGTGCCTCGGAGTCTCCAGCGGATATCCGGCAGTTTTTAATAATTGTTATTATTGTCGTTTGAAGGGCACTCTTTCTACGCTGCTTTCTATGCAGCACCTGCTCTGAAGCTCATTTGGTGCTCCCGTAGTTCGTGCTGTACTCGAAGAATAGCCTGCTAAAGGGAAACGCAAAGATTACCTTTTTGCGTTGCCTTTCCTCTCAAAACTCAAAATATGGAGATCTTCAAAGATTGTTCGAGAAACTTGTAGTAATTCCCCCACCATTTTTATATAAAAAATAATAAACAAGCAGTGTTGGAAAGTACTCTATGTACATGGTACTTAAAGTACTACTGTTTAGAAAAATTGTACTTTACTTGAAATAAATTTTCTGAGCATGCACTTCTATTTTTCGAGGTAAGTAGGGCTACCAACTTCAATGTACATTCCTCTAATTTTGAACAAAAAAAAAAAAGGCGGTATCGCCGTGTGAAAACGCGCTCTTTCGAGACGTCATCTGGTCATTTCTCTGAGTGAAGTAATGGCGGCTGTAAGACCGATAGAAATAAGTGCCGTATAAGTTGATTGTGTCAAATAGCTCGTCAGCGAGAGTAAAACAACTACTCTGCGGCGACTTGACCTTATACAATATTTGCTGCCATTTCTGTAAAAAACTGATTCGCCTCCGATTACTCCTGATGAAATTCATATCAGTTAAAAAAACACAATATAGGGAATGAAAGGGCACAATGAAAGATTGTGTTAAAAGTGCTTGCACTTTACCGTGAAATTTATAGTGTTTATATACGTTACTTCAAGTACATTGCACATGGTGTACTTACTACTTTACTTAAAGTACATAACCCCTCATTTAGTTTGTACTTTACTTCAAGTCCTTTTTAGAGGTACTCTATGCAACGCTGTAAACAAGCAAACACTGACTAAAAAATCTATCTCAGACGGTGCTAAGCCCAAAGTACAAATGACACATTCGCAGTACATCATTAACCAAACAAAAAGGAAAGTACAAAACAATAGGGCACGCAGAAGCAGAATCAGCTATTAAAGCATTTCTGTGAAAAAAACAAGCCGATTCATATTTGGCTAGCACAATTTCGCTAACGGATCAAAACCTTTGTACTTTCTTTTTACCATAAAAAACATATAAAAGTAACTTCAAAGTAACTTCAAAAGTAGTTCGCTACTTTTATACGGTAATTAGTAATTTCCTCAATTACTTTGTATTTGAGTAACTTCTACTCTGCTCAAATTACTTTTGACGTCAATACTCAGTAACTTAACTTAATTACTTTTTTTGAGTAACTTGTACATGTCTGGCGTCACGGCGCTAAGTGGCCAAGAAGAAACGATCCGAAGTTTTGCAGCAGACGCTTCCAGAAAATGGCGGCTCATGGCGACGATTCGAAGGTGATAATAGTGACCGCACACGTGCCACTTGACTCCTGCCGTCCAGTCAAGTCGCAGCAAATCAAAACATGCTCGGGTAGACTGAGTCTTTCTGTCGCAAAGCAGTGAAAACTCTGGCACAGTATTCAGTGACACTACCATGCGCACCTGCGCTTTGCCAAACGCAGCGCGTGGCTAGGATAAACATTGTCGGTATATAATCGGCTCCAGGTCACGTGGCCTCTTGTTTTGGCTGCGAGTTGAGGAGGTGAAAGCTGCTCGTTTTTATCGATTTTTTTTTTTTGCGACTGTTATTGCGCGGAGAAGCAAGAAACCGCGTTGTTTGTAAGTTACGAATGTCAAGAGATAATTCTAAGTGGTATTTATTGAAAGTACAAAAGTGCTTGTATCGCCCATTTCAGTGTGGGGATGAAGAACTCGACAAGGAAGAGTGGGAACCCCCCTGGGAAAAGTTCTGCGGACGGCCATGTGTGCATACTGCATACAGGGAATGTCGGTACGGATGAAGTGAGCTTCAACTTTGGAAGCTTCGAGCTTTTATGGGGCAGTGAATTAATGCTGTGCTGATGAAACCGAAAAGGGTGTCTTAAAAGAAAATATCTCGTATGTAGTATATTCTGTGAATGATACGAAAAGCTCTGGTGATCTTTTTTTCTACGAGGTGGTGCGTTAAGTGAAAATAACTTGTTTCGAATATATTTAACATGGTCATAATATCAGATGACAAACTCGCTTTAAGTTTGGTATTCTAAAATTGAAATAACAGCAAGATACAAAAGAAAGCAATGGAAGAGACAGGCAACGAAGAAAGGGTGAGTCGACAACGTGATATAATTTTGAATAGTGCGCATTTTATTTAGACTCAAATCGCCAAAACAAAATTGATTACGCTTTCTTCATAGAACACTCGCTCTCAACAACATCAATTGTAACAACTTCACCTCTTTTTACACTGTAAATAGGTGAGACTTGATCTTCGTCTTTTTTTTTTTTTTTTCTTGCCCGTTTTGTTCGTTTCAACACAAAGAAAACAACGAAATCGCGTAAATATTATGCAAAGCAAGTTGAAGAGCGCCAGGCCCCATGCGTTGCGCCTGCTGCTGATCGTCCACCTTGAAGATCGCGATGAAAGAAAAAAAAATGTCGCCGATAGCATCAGCATTTTTCCAACGTTTCAAAGGCGGTTTTTTTCAGAAGCAGGTACGACACACTTCGCAGCAGTCACGCATGGCTCCAACTCAGCCGCTTAGACTAGATAAAAACTCTTCACTTGTCGCTTTAGCTCTCGTTCATTTCAACGTTAGCAAAAGAGGAAACCGATATTAAAAAAAAAAAAAAAAAACGAGAAGCGACGAAGTTGTAAAAACAATTCAATAAACGAAAAGCTTGCTTGGGTCTTGAGACTATTCTCGTGAACGAAGTGGCTTTTCGTTGTCAAATAATAATAATAGTAATAATCTGAGTGACGACAAAAGAATGTTAAGGAACACAATATCGGAAATTGCGTCTGAGGGGTTGTTCGTTCGTCTTATTCACTTTGCGCTTTCGCGGTTAAGGCCGATTAGTCCAAGACGAGGAACTCAGTTCGTTTCCCGGAACATAGAACCACATGACCAAGGGCAGAACGGGTTCTTGGTTGTCGTGGCGGACCATGCCGTGGAAAAGGTCTTGGAAAGCTGAATCCTCCTCTCCGGCTGAAGGGGAATTTGTTGTAGACATTCTGTTTCTGGATGAGACGCAACGTCGGAAGACGTGGCGAGAGCAAGAATCCTTACGTATCTTCACTCGTCGCCCTTCTTCGTCGGCCACGGGTGGTGCATGACGATGGTGGAAAGAAGAAAAAAAAAGTCCTACAAAAGTGCATCACTGGTTTTTTTCGAGGAGTGTGGAACCGACACCGTGTGTTTAGCCGTAGGTGGGGTCGTGTGGCTTGTTGCTGTGGAAAGGCAAACCAAAGACAGAAATTAATTCTCGTTTAAGAACAAGCTATGCGCCGCACAATGTTTTTCATTGCGATAGTGTATAGGTGTTCATTTCTGACTTCAATATTTATTATGAGTGTATGTCGCGTGGACATTATCTTGCAGAGATCAGTGATGTCAGAATTTTTTTTATTTTTTACTTGTAAATTTCGAGGTAAACGCTTACAGCATTATGGTTTCGTAGTTCTACCGTGTCCTGCATATTTTTAAGTGGAAAAGTACAGTGGAGCTAAGCTTGCCGTCTGCCGAAGACTAATGCTGAAGGAGCTGTGTGAGAATGCTTGGAGCTAGTGAGATTCAAACCACGCGGTAAATTGTGGACTTGCTGGTTCTATAGACAGATGGTGCAATACTTACGACATGGCGCACTCGGTGTTGCCGAGGTGCTCGCCCTTGTCCATGGAGAGGCATCCGGCGCCGCCGCCGAAGCCGTATCCCTTGGGGCCGAACTTCCTGCCGTAGCACTGCTTGCAGAAGAGTTCACCGCCGTGCTCGGTGGCGTTGGTGCTGTCCAGCCTCTTGTGACACAGTCCTGGGGACCAAAAAAGGACATACTTAAATTCATGCAGGAATTTCAGGGGACGTCTTGAAGGCACGTATTCAAGACCGGTCATTAGGCCGCTACTTCAGACAGGTCTTTAAGACACGTCATCAGGCTGGGCCTCAGGACACGTTTTTAAGACGAGTCATCAGGCTCCGGCCTCAGAACAAGTCTTCAAGATAAGTCCGTTCACAGGACACGTCATGCGAAGATGTCTTCAAGGCATGTCTTGGAGACACGTCTGTCATAAGAAGACGTCATAAGAAGGAGCGTTCAGGACACGTCCTGAAAACACGTACGTCCACAGAATACACCTTCAGGAGACGTCTTGAAGAAAGGTTTGTACTCATCACACACTCTCGAGACGATTTCTCAACACACACGAACATTTTATGGCACGTTCTTAAGACGTGTCTTGAGGACGTGACTATGAGTCTCGTGACTTAAGCCAATTCTCTATCGGCTGGCACTCATAAATCTCAGATTGCAGAAACTTACCGCACACGAAGCATGTCCTGTGCCACTTGGCACCTGCTGCTAGCATCTCTTCCGCCGCGTACACGGACTTGCCGCACTTGGGGCACTTGGCCTGTTCAACGGGCTTGAAAGGCATGGCTACTGTCTGCAAGATCAAAAACACGACGGTGGTTGATAAGGCTCGTAATTAGGCTCAATATATCTCAGCCGTTACACTTCGACAGCTTTGTAAATAATTGTGCGCTCCCCTATGGCAATGGCCAGTTAAATAAATAAATTAGTTTTGAATGTTTCGTCATGACATCAAAGGCCATTGACTCAACATCTTGATCCTCCAAGTAATGCCTATGGGCGTTGTTGTAAACTATTTTAATTGCTCAGTGCCAGAGTGTAGGGATGATATTGTAAGTTGATTTTGCCTATGAAGCTGACTTTAAATTTTAAAAAAATGAGTCATGTATGTTGCCCGACTTATTTTCAATAAGTGCTAGCGAGTTTGATGAAGATAGTTCACGTGCCATGTTTCCAAAATAACGATATCGCATTTGAACTTTTAGTGTTCGTTTCTTTTATTATTTTTATTAATTAAAATAAACTACTTGTATTTCGAGGAAGGTGTTTATCTAAAAGAAAATTGTGAATAAATAAAGCAGACAACGTTTTGGGCCGTGAAGAAGATGCGCAATCACCTTGGTTCGCCCGCACCCCCGCGGTGGCCTGTCTATTTCGGTGGACCCTCCTCTCCCCCTCCCTCCTAGACCCTCTCCTTCAGACATTCTAATCCTCTTTCCCTCTATCGCGCGACCTGGCACACAAACATGGCAGCGGAGGTGGAAAGGAGAGCTTCAACAACATCTGCGTTTTCCTCTTGTGTATGTTTTTAGACTTCCATTTCTGTGGCGCGTTAGCTGGACTCGTTGCTATCTTGGGACCGCCAAGGCATGGCTCCCCCCTCCGTATACCTTTGCGCTTTAACGGGTCGTGCGCAAACAATATCCTCACATTTTAGCGAGCCATCTCGATCTCGGTGTCTCGTTAGAGCGAGTGATTTCAGATTAACCACAAAATATCGCAATCGTAAAAGTAGCTTCGGCCGGAACGTTTTAGGGTTCTCAATATTGTGACGATTAAAAGCGATAAAAACACGAGGAACTGTAGAAGAAGGCACACACACCAGGAGCGCTTATACGGTTATCAATAAAGCTGCCAATCTTTTCTTTTTTTTTCGTTGACGAGATAGTTTTATGTAAGGTGACAGACATTAGAATCCAGCGAATTCGCCACTGGAGATATCCGATTGCGTTTTCGAAGCAGTAGCACGAACGGTAATCCTCTGGGATGCGATGTCTTCGAGTTGATCTTCGTCTTGACATGTTCGCAATTCAACGTAAGCAAGCTGAAGCTGGTGGATCACTTGAGTCCTCAAAACAAACGCCAGTTACGTCGTTGAGTCAGAATGGAGCACGCAGACTTTTTTCTATTGGCACAGAGCACCTTGCAAGCCACCGAAAGCTGCGCCAGGTCACGCATTCCACATCTCGGTAACTTTTCTGGGTGAGCCGTATGCACACTTACAAAAGCAAAAGGAAGAATGGGTGGTGGAAGCCCTAGTAATTTGTCACCGGTTACCTAACCTGTCCCAAAGCACGAGCGGGCTAGCCACTTACTGCTGGCATCGCATTGGTTCAGTGTCTCAAGCCGGAACTGCTGCCATTGTCTGGCAGCGGTTCAACTCGCTTGTTTCCCAAAGCCACTGCAGTATTCTACGCGGACCGGCGGTGCTTCAGCGTAGCGACCTCGCGTTCTGCCTCGTTTTCGGACGCCACTGGGACAACGGCTTCCAGCGAAGGGGCAACAGTTTAGCACCGCGGTCTTGTGCAATGTATGCTCAAAACATATCTACACAGCGTTCGTGAGCACTGCTACCCTTTAGCGCAAGGCGTTCGTTGACTTAGCCTTCGACGTCAAAGGGTTTGTCTGTTTCCCGTCCGCCTACAATTTGTTTCGCTTTCCGACGTTCGCTTCTTATCGCTGTCTGGTCTTTTGGCTGGCTGTTAGTAGTAGTCCATGGGGTTGTGAGCGTCGCTGGCGGCTTACCTTTGGTTTGGAGCGGGCTTGCTCGAAGAACACAGAACGGGTCGGTTCGCACTACCTGAGTTCGGAGGATCTCAGAAAGCGTCTGGTCGGTGCCGGGCCGGCCCGTCCATTTTTCTAACACTTTGCACACGGCACACAGAGGCTCCGGCGTCGACATATAGGGCTAGTCGCGCGAGCTGCCCTCGCCTGGAGAGCCCTCCTTCTCCGCGGGACTGACATCATCGGCGGGCAAGGGGACGCCGCTCGAATTTCCCCCCTTTCCACCGCGGACGGGGGAGGACTTGCATCACAGAAACCCCGGGCTCTGACTCAGAACAACCCGAGCTCTACGCCGACGGCAGGTTTCCAGGAGGGACCCTGGCCAAAGGCTAACACTTTTTCTTTTTTTTCTGCACACTCGCAGGTCTAGCTTGGCTTCGTGCATTCCTCAGTTGCGCGGGGTTGCAATGTTTTGGTGTGGTGTGCAGTGCCCTGCGTCCTCTTTCTCCGCCCATCTAGCCTTGGGCCTCTTGGCTGGGTTTTGGAAGAGTGTCGAGAGTGACATTGAAAAAAGAAAACAAGAGCGCCGGAGTATAGTGCGGCGCGGGAGCTTCGCTGCCGAGTGAGAGTTTGCTGAGGTGGCTGACCGTTCGAACCATTTATCGGGACGTCCTTGGACAATCTTGTGTTACGGAGCTGTTCATCAGTGGGCGTCCGGCGATCTTAAGTTTTGGGAACAGACACCAAGTATGCGTACCGCGTCGTGAGAGGCGTTCCCTTGATTCCAATAAACGAAGTCCGTCTTTCGTCTTCACTTGAATTCCTGATCTGCCCGTCCTGTACTCAAGCTTCAGAACGTGCACTACTACCTTGCGAATAGTCTCTGTGTAAATGCTAAATGTGTCCAGTTGGTCTCGGATATAACCCTGGAAGTACACACACGGCTTTCTGGGTTGTCCACATAAGCCATTGATAGACGACTGTTAAAAGTCGGCGTCTGACGCATCATCAACCCCTCACCCGGACTCATCGCGCGTTTTCCTTCCAAGGTTACCGCTGTGACATCAGCCCTTGGCGCGCTCGGATCAGCCCAGAGTCCTCCTCGCCCGGGAAGCCATCCCGAACCTATCAGAAGATATGGACACTGGACTTATACTAGGGAAAGGCCTATACCTGCACGCCGAATAATGGGCCATCCCATGGTGGTGAACCTACCATACGGGTTTCAAACCCGACGTCACCGTACACAGTGGAAGAGGCAGTATACTAACCCAATTTGTAAGCAGATAATTAAACGCATTTAAGTTACCGCGACTGATTGCCATCTTAAGAAATGAATGTTTACATTGAAATTTTAGCAACTTAAGTCGTTTCATTTGAAATCAAACATGCGTGTCGGGGTGGGTATAATAATTTGCGCCCACAAATTATATATTAAAGCCCAAATTTTGTAATAAACGAAACAATTTTTTTTTTTAATTTTTACCAGAAATTTGTTTTGTTTTTAATGAAATTTTTGAAGTAGAGCAAGGTGAAATGCTGCAGTTAGTTTGCTTGATCTTTGTTCCCAATTCTGTCGGTTGTTATAAATAAGCAGAAACGATAACAGTCACAGTATTTTTTCTTGTAAATCTGTGACACGTGGCCTTTTTTTTTTTTTAACTAAACACTTCGGCATATTTTATGCTGAACATAAAAAAAATGGCGCACATCGCATCTTTGACGTTTTGGTGACATATTTGGAACCTTGTACTTTAGGATTCATCGTACATTTTGCTTAATAAATACTATATGCCTGTAGGCCTATACGTGCGCTATCGTCTTGTATCAAGTTTAATTTACTGACACAAAAGAATTTTTATCCGTTTTCAAAAAATTTAAAAAAGAATTATTCGAGCCATAACCCTGCTTTATTAAAAAATATTTCTTTTATTTATTATGTTTCAATTATGCTATTTTTGTGTGGGCATAATAAGAGTTTCCTATTTTTTTTTGTATTTCTTTGTATAAGTACTTTTAACGTTTTAAAGTTTTTAAATATGTAGACGACGTTTTGATTTCTTTAAAAAAATCTCTGACGTATCATGATGGGGTGCACTGAGCTTCGGATGCTTTCAGACGACATGGTAGAGGACTGAATTTTACACACGAACTGCCTAACCAGGATCGCCTGCAGGTTTTAGACTTGAGCCTCAAGTTACTAGAGGGACACGTGTGTTGGATATATGACCCACAGTCCCAAAAGGAAGAGCTTCTTCTAGGACCATATGGCACTGCGCATTCTAAAGTGGTTCAAAGAGGAATTGCAACGCTCTGCCTAGAGTACCTTCTCAGAAAGTCCTGCTCAAGTTACTCGAGGGAAATGTATGTTGGATGTATGCTCCACGGTCCCAGAAGGAGCTCCTACTAAATGACTCTGCGCATTCTGAAGGGGTTAAAAGAGGAATCGCAACTCACTGTGTAGAGTCAGTTGTCAGAAAGTCGTGTGCTCATCGTATGCAGGCTAGCTTTAATAACCAATTGTCTAGACTAGACTATTGTCAGCGGGCTTCTATCATACGGTCTTGACGAATGTGGCAAAGGCCATCCTCACAAAAAGTAAAAGGCACACGACCAGGAGAGTGACGCCGATATCGTATCGTGCATACACAAAATGCCGTATAACCTCAAGAAGGTTGCGAACAGGCATGGAGCACCTCTCGTGTTTTCAGCGCCAAAGCCAACTTTCCCTGGAATTGCTTATGAAAGGAGAAACGAGCGAGGATGTGGTACGAAGCACGCCAAGTCATATATCAAGTGTGTCGGGCGGGTCATGTATGAAATTCCCCTAACGTACGGAAAGTCTTACGCTGGGCAAACTGGACTGCGCACAATGACCGCTTGAGTGTGCATGCACAAAATTTAAAGACAAATGACGGGGCATATTTGTCCACGCACTGTAGGGCCTGCAAATGTGAGCCACGCTTCGGTGAAACCAAGAAACCAAGGTAGTAGATGTAGAAACTGAGGATGTGAATTTCAGGCAGGGGTGTGCTTTTTCAAGTTGTGGAAGGAAAGAACTGACCGCGTGCGGCGTGCCGAATCCGAGAATAATATCGACATAGCGTCCATAAAAGTTGGGATGGGGAAGGGGGAGTGTGCCGAAAAGGGACTTTTCAACGACGCCCACAGAGAGGCTAGCAAAGGAGGGGCCAATCTTAGAGCCCATGGCGGTACCAGATTTTTGTCTGTAAAAGCGGTTGTTAAATGGGAAGGCGTTAAGAGAGAGGACAATTTTGGCAAGGCGGATGGTAGTGTGGGAGGCTGTGTCGGGATTCGGTCGTTAGTCCAGGAAGTGCTGGAGGGCACGTAAGCCATCATGACGGGGAATTACAGTATATAAAGAAGTGATGTCTACGGTGAAAGGCAGAGTATCGAAATCAGGGGTGTGGCGATGTGGGCGCTGGAGGACGTGCGTTGTGTCTTGGATGTAGCGGGGCAAGTTCTGAACCAGGGGTTGGACGATTGAGTCTACGAAAACGGAAATGTGGGACAAGAGAGAGCGGAGGCTATCGGTCGACCTGGGCTGCCGGTTTTGTGGATTTCGGGCGAAAGGGGTTATTCAGCATTTGACAATTAGACGAGATGCGAGGAGGAAAGGCCTTGGTACGGATCGAATGTTCGATGGTGGTCGTTATTGTCTCTTTGATAAGTGGTGGTGAGGTCGGGTGCGAGAGGTTCATAAAAATCGGGAACGGCGAGTTGACGGTGTGCTTCCTCAAGATAGACTTCTCTGCGCCAAAGCGCAATAGCGCCCCCTTTATCCGCAAGTTTGATGACGATGTCTTTGCGTTTTCGGACAATGGTCCGAGATTTGGAAGATAACTGTGGTGGTATTTTCCCAGGGCCATTGAGCCTGTGCGCTGATCAAACTTAATGGTAAAATACAGTTTTTTTTCTTTGTTTTTCTGGGGGCGGGAGGGGGGGGGGGGGCGGTGGATTTTCACGTGACAGTTTGGAGTTTGTGGGAGAAATCCGAATTGACTAAAACTTTACCGGCGGGCGTTCTTCTGAGTTTTCCTGATTTCTGAGAAAAGACGGAACCCTACGCACAGCACAGAGATCTCAACATTTCCTGCCTTTCCGCAAGCCTTACCCGACCAGTGAAAAGCGTTGAACGCACGGAGTGCACGCGCAAGGCAGTTGAAATCTCTGGGTGTCAAGTCACACCCAGCTGTTGGTTTTTCTCGCGTCTATTGATAAGTTCGGGTCAAATGCTCGCGATATTCAAATTCACAGAACAAAAAGACGCTAGAGTTCTCCTCTAACTCCTTTTTCTTTTTCTAACACCTCTTAAGGGTTTCTTTTTTTTTTTTTTTTTAGGTGAAACAGAAAGTGTTTTATATAGCCGCCTTTAAAAAGAAAGCTGGGAGGTTCTTGAAAAAAAAAAAAAAAAACGAGTTATAGGAGAATTATAGCGTATTTTTGTCCCGTGGATTCGGATATTACGAGATTAGAGAAAAACCGAAAAACACACCGCTGGGGCTGTCACGTCATACCCAGAAGTTTCAACTTCCTCGCGCGTGCCGCTGGTGGAGAAATCCGTGCAGCGCTCTTTGACTGCTCGGGGAAGGTTTGCGGATAGCGCTGTAATGTTCAGATCTCTGTGTAATACGTCGTGAGTCCCTCCTTGCACCGAACGCGACGGCAAGGAGGGGTTTCAGCGCTATCTTGAAGGCGCCATTGTGGCTACTTGGCGCATCAATGGGAAATATAATTTTCATATTCGTGATCCCATAGAGGCTAAATAAAGACCATTTAAGCGTTTTTTTTTTTTTTCTTAAATACAAAACCGCTTCAGTTTCCCCTTAAGGATTAATGGCCTCTCCACCATGCCCCTTGCCTCCTTGGCGCTCGCGTTGGTAAGAGGCTACTTTTATTTCGGTAGAGAGTTCTGGTTGGTCCTCCGCAAAATGAGGTCGCGTTCTCCGTCGGCGTAGAAGTTGTGCCCCGGACTTCTCGAGGGACTTTGTCGCGCGCTAGCAACGGAGAAAGCGACCGAAGAGTTTGTCAAAGTGCCTTCTGACTGCGAAGTCGTGTCCTGTGAAGAGACGCCTTTGTGGCCTCTGGCTTGTCTCGCCCGTCGCCAGGTCGGCGACAGCAGCCCGCCTGAACCCCTGTTTATTGACACAAGCTCTTCCGGAGGGAGAAACATTCGCTCCTGCTACCCCGGGCAGCGACGAGGTCTCGCTTGCACCATCAGTATCAAATGGAAGCGAGGGTGGAAAACGACGCAACTGGTACAAAGTTAAAAAAAAAATAGAAAAAAAAAACAACTAAAAAGTGAAAGTGAACAAAAGGGCGCGTCTCAATTCAAGCACGGTTTTGGGATAATTTTTGTTTTAC